GTGTTCATCTGTCAATCTGTCAATCTGCCGTGTCATTGTGCGGGTCTGCCTCGCGTAAAGGCTCCACAAATCTAGACATCTAGCTGCCTGGCTATCCACGACACACCCACACCGCACCGAAAAAAGACTGACTATCTACGCTACGGATCTGTCCATCCATCCATCCAGATGGCTATCCGTTGATCAATCTACGGCTGCCGGCCAGCCAGCCTGTCTGCCATCAGGGTGCCCTGAGGCTGTTGTGGCTCTTCATCCTAGCCGCCGCCCGAGCCGCCATCGCCCCCTGCATGCCCTGCGACCCGCGCGCCCCCATGATGTCCTGGGACGACCCACGCAGCACCATCTTGCTCGGTCGAGCATACTCGAGGCTCTCGACCTCCTCCAAACCCGCCAGCGCGCTCAGAGGGATGTTGGTGCTGCAGATCTTGCTCACACACACGACCGAGTGGCTGGTCAGCCCCTCCAGGCTGGTCTTCAGATCGGCCGCCTCGGCTTCAGACGCAGCCACTGCGTCGATAGTCACGTGGCCGTCTCTCACCGTGGCTCCCAGCACCGTCGCCCCCTCTCCCTCTCCCTCTCTGTCTCCCTTCCAGTCGCTCGCCAGCCGCTGCAGCGTGCCGTCCAGCTTCGACTCAGGTTTCTCAGCTGCTGCTGCTGCATCTGCCTCAGGTGACGCAGCAGCCGAGGTGTACAGGTCCCGTCCGATGCCGCCCACACCCACTGGCTGGTTTGGGTTTGGGTGTGTGGTGGCCATGGCCGCTCGGGCGAAGGCGAGGCTTTCCATGTCCTCAAGCTCCATTATCGCGCCTACGGGCACCCTGGCCGAGCACATGTGCTGGTAGCATGACACCTCTTGGCCGGTGAGAGCCTCGAGGTCGGTCTTGAGTGCCGTGGCGTTGTCCCTCTCGGCTGCGACGGCGTCGACGGTGACGGTATCGTTGGAGAGCATGGCGGCCTCTGGGAGGATGGTGGAGAGGGAGCTGGCCCCTGTGTTGGTGCCATTGGAGACGTGCTGCTGGTAGATGCTGCGTAGGGTGGCGTCCAGCTTGCTGGCGGGCTTGGGGTTGCTGCTTGAGGCTGTGGTGGTGCTGGTGCTGGTGCTGGTGTTGTTGTCGTCAGTTGTCACTGGCCTGTCTACAACTGTACCTGACACACACGAGAGGATTCCTTTCTCCCCTTCTCCCTGTCTCTGTGTGTGTGTGCGTCGACTCACTGGCCATAGCGAGGCTGGCAGATTTGAGTTCCGTCATTGGCGCAAGGTCAGGCACCCTCTCGACGGCCACCTGTGCGGAGCACACGTGGCCGTAGCAGACGACCTCCTCCTCGCTCACGGCCTCCAGCGACTGCTGCAGGGCCGCCACCTCACCCGCCGCCACAGCATCCACAGTCACGGTCTCCCTCACAAACGACAGCGTGTCCGCCTCTGGGGCACACAGAGAGGCAGACAGACAGACAGACAGAGAGAGTTACAGTGCACCCAAGCACCCCCCCTCTCGTGTGTGAGGGCGTACGTGTGTTGTTGGTGCTGGTGGCGGTTGTGGTGGTGCTGGTTTTGCCGGGTGAGGGCCGGTCCTGCCAGTTTTTGTAGGCCCGCAGCAGGAAGGGGTCCAGCTTGGCGAACGGGCCGCTCTTGCCGAAAGTCGTCACATTCTTGGCACTCGCAGGCACTGACACACAACACGACACACACAGTGCGCACACACAGGGTGAGAGGGAGGCGGAAGGCACCACTTGCTGTGTGTACGTGTGGGCGTGTCCGTACCGCCCTTGTGTGCCTGGTCTGCTGCGGGCGCGGCGGTGCACACTGCCACAAGGGCAAAGAGGGCGAGACGAAGGGAGCGCATCGACGACATCTGCTGCGGTGGTGTGATGGTATCTCTGCTCAACAGGGAATCGCAAAACCGCTTGTAATCAACGTAAGATCCGGCCCTCCTATTCCCTCCTCCCTCTCAAGTGCGAGCTTAGAGAGACGAATCATTTGCAGCTCGCAATTGGTAGGAGAGAAGGAAAGGAGAAATGCGTCAGCTAGAGGCCTTGTCCAAGCTGGCTGGGTGCCGGTCAGCCACCGACTGCTGTGTGTTGGCGCTGCACGGCTGTCTGCTCGACAGCGGATACACGCTCGAATGCACCGACGAGGCTGGAGGTATCCCATACCGGGAGTCAGTCAATGAGCACATCAGCGGCAGACACAGCCGGGCAGAAAGAGAGAAACACAAACACAAACAGGAGAGAGACAAAACGGTGATAGATCATCTTCCTGTGTGTGTGTCTGCCTGGGTGTCTCTCTGGTGACTAGGCATGAGCAAGGCGGGTGACGGGAGTGTGGTGAGGGTGGTGCTGCTGCCGTCGTGGAATGCCAACAGCGATGCGTACGCCTTCAACTACACCCCGCCGTCCAAGCAGGGCGTCAGCCGGGCGGTCGTCAAGGCCATCGTCATCGGCAACACGCTGTCTGTTCATGCTGTCGGTACGTCACATGTGCCTGCCACATGAGCAGCAACGGCGTCCACACACGAGTGGCTGAACGTCTCTCTCTCTCTCTCTGTGTGTGTGTGTGTGTGTGCGTGTGTGCGTGTGTGGTTCAGAGCAATCACTGAGTGGCGGCAAGGAATCGGCGCTGCTCAACTATGAGATCACGTAACACACGCACGCACACACACAGGACATCTCCGGTATCGGTATCGTGACCGTTCTGTTTGTTCGCTGTGATGTGGTTCAGACCGTCTGAGGTTTTGGCCAAGAAGGGTGAAGATCTGACAGCTCATCTAGATGCCGACGGTTCGCTCGTTGATGCCTTCAAGGACCTCAAAGCAATCGTAAGTAACGACACACCAGGTCCCGTCACATCACCGAGCGCATGATACGGACGTGTGTGTCATCCGTCCATCCATCCATCCATTCGCAGGAGACGGCCTTTCGCCGCGCCATTGTTGACCGTCTCAGCCCCGCTGCAGCAGCAACAAGTAAACTACACCCCACCCCCTCTAGCACACACACGCCTGCAGCCAACGCTTCTGTGTGTGCGTTGGCCACGTCAGGTGAGACCAAGCCCGCTGCGTCGGCATCGCATCCTGCGGCCCCTCCCCAGCCGCCCCCCATGAGCGACCCCCTGCGCGACGAGCGGTTTCCCCCATGGCGGCCCGACAGCGACCTCGGAGACCCACCACTCGGCATGGGCGGACCCGGGTGAGTCACTGAGCATGTGGCAGCCAACACACAAAGCATACGGACTGAGGTGTCTGTGGTGTGTGCAGGTATTTCGGTCCTGACGGCAATCTGGTGGGTCCCCGCGACCCCATGTTCGGCGGCGGGATGCCTGGTGGAGTGGGGGCTGGGCGTGGCCGGGGCAACATCCGATTCGACCCCTTGGGGCCGTTTCCCGGCAGGTGAGAGGGGGGACACGTGTGGCGGCGTGTGCATACAAACGTCTCTCTCTCTCTCTCTCTGTGTGTGTGTGTGTGTGTGTGTGTGTGTCAGGGGCATCGATCCCGACAATGACCATCTTCGCCCGAGCCGAGGGCCGGGGTTTCAGGAGGATATGTACGGGTGATGTGATTGATCCGCATATGCCTAGTAGATGCCAAGGATGAGATGACCGCGCAGAGAGATAAGAGACAGACAAAGAGGAGCAGGATTTATTTGTCGTGAGGGCGTTGCTGCCGGGGAGCGTGTTGAACCAACTAAAGAACATATGGTGAATGACGGTGATCTGCTGTTTGTTCGATCCCTTGCCCTCAGTCGTGTCGCCCCTGTTCAAATACGCCAGAGGCGGCTTCGATGGGGAAAAGGCGGAGGACGGACAGCGAATGACCGTCGTCTCATTGCCAAGAGAGTGTGGTTGGTGTGTGAACCTATCGTTGTGCTAGCGCCTCGTGTGTGGCTTGACCGTGACGTCATCGGCCTGTGGGTGCAAAGCGCCATGCTCTCAAGGGCGCGATGCATCTCCAGCTCGATGCTGAAACGGTCAAATTGCACACAAGGAGGCGGCATGTCCGTTCGCGAGAACTTGGCAGACGTTTCTGTGTTGATGTCATATATATATGTCTTGATGTGTCCACCACCACCATCGTGGCACCAAGCAAGTGTGTGTGCTACCGACAGACACAAAACAAACCTTACACACGCGTCAACACGCACCTCTGCGATAGGTCAAAACTCTACATTGTTCTATGTAACCAAGGGAAGGTGGGGTGGGCTGAGGTCGGTGGGTGGGGGGTTAGCCATCTGTCAATCGGCGCGCGGCCGGTCGCGAGTACGTCAGGGCGGTCTCAAACGCCTAAATCAACACAGACAGACGAGGACAGAACACTTGCTAATCGTCCCCGGGTGGCAATGTCTTTTATACCTTCTTGAGCTTTTCCATCGAAGGGCCGTGCACCACCTCCTGAACACACACACACGCACACACACAGGCAACATTGCCCCGTTCATGTCTGTCTCTCGTGCAGTGCAGTGCATGTCTTTCTCCCTGCCTCCCTCACGGGTGTGTAGAAGGGCCGCTCACTGAACTTCTTGCTCACGCGGCTCGTCTGCGGCCGATCCCCCACACAAGGCTGGTACTCAAACCGATCCCCAATTCCCAAACCCCCACGAACCAAGGCGGCCTTCCTTGCCGTCCTCGACGTGTGCGGCCGCGCAGTGAGCCCCCTCCTCTCATCTGCATGCTCGTCAGCCTGCTCCAGGTCTTCGTTGGGCCGGGCAATCTTGGCCAGTGGAGGAACGAGCGGCATCCCCCATCGGTGCTTCGGCAAGGGAAGGACCGTCGCGGCCGCCCCCTCGTGCGAATGCAGGAATGTCCGGCGGCCCCTCGGCGGCCGTGGGGTGGGTCTGCCGGCCACACGTGCACTCTGATTCTGCGCAGCCGTGACGGGGATGCTGCGGGTGAAGAGGTTCACTGGCAAAGGGAGAGACAGTGCCAGGGCGGTTGTGCCGCCTGGCTGCTCCTCTCTTTGTGACGGCTCTGGCTGGGGGAAGGACGGCGTCACGCGGCCTAAGGGAGATGTCTCTCCCCTTGGCGGCTCGATGTCTCCCCTGAGTTGCTGCTGCTGGTGCAGGTGGTGATTTTGGATGAGTGGGGGGGAGTGTGGGGCGGGTGCCGGGGGGAAGTGGTGGACCAGGGGGATGGTGGGGGTGTGGTAGGTGTCTGTGGTGTTGGCGCGAGCCATCCAACCGAGCTGCAGAAGTGAGACAAACCACACACCATACCAATCATGAGGCACAAGACCATGTCTTTCTCTCCCTCACACCACACCCACCCACCTCATGGAGCCGTTTCCTCATCAGTGACACCGAGTCAGGAGCGCTCCGTGGCCTCTCCCGCAGCCCCATCTCATCTCCCTCACACAGAGATGGCGTCGACGGCCGGCTGCGGGGCGGGGATATCACGGGGGTGGAAGTGGTGCCATGACCCTTGGGCACCAGCGGCCCCTCTGCATCGCTATGGAGGATCAGCGAACTCTGGCTGCTGTGCCTGCTCCGGTCACCACCATTGGCACCCCCACCACCATTCTTGCCTCCCTCTCCTGATGGTTTCGTTTTCTCGTCTCCGGCCGTTGCCAATGCTCGTTCGAGGGCCGCGAAAGAGGGGTGCCTGGCGCGGTTGGCAGGGAGGGTGGGGGTGCGGTTGCCATGGCGAAAGGCCGGGAGCTCATTGAGGTCGAAATGAGGCGACTCTGCGCGCTCTTGATCCCGGCCTGGAGCCGCAGCAGCGGTCGCGGGCCTCCCCTTTTCTCGCTCTGGCGCTGCCAGTGGCGGCGCCTCCACGACTGTCTCCTCCTGCTCTTTGTTGACAATATCGGCGGTCTTCTCAATTGGCGAGGCGGCGTCGATCGTCGCCGAGCTGCGGACGATCGACATGCCGACCACCCCGCCAATCTCTGGCCGTTCGACCTGCAGCAGCTGCCCGTTGTCACTCTTGCGCCGCTCTCCCCTCCTCGTCGGCTTGTCACGGGGAGAAGACGGCGCGCTCTCGCCCAGCTGCTTCCCTCTCACACCCAGCCGCCCCTGCTGCTGTGTGGGCACCCCCTTGGCGGGCATCTGGAAGGCCCACATCCGATTCGATGCGTCCTCGTGGGTGTCGCTGGCGCAGCTGGACGAGTGGGCGGAGGGGGGTCGCCGCCTCTCCGTCTGTGGGGGCGAGTGGGTACCGAGTGGCGGCAGAAGGCCGTCATTGTACTTCATGTGGGAGCCCCAGAGGTCGTAGCGAAGGGAGACGGGAAGAGGCTCGATCGGCAGGGCAGGGACTGAGGAATTAAAGAGAGGATCGGTGAGGAGTGTGGTTGTTAAGTTGAAGAACGCATACTCTGGCAGTTTGGCTGTGTGCATGCGATGCTGAGGCCCTCCGACACGTCAAAACGGCACAAAACCGGCGCGTTGCAGCACCGCGTCCGGGGAAGCCGCGCATCTGACAGGCAACGCATCATCACGTCCCATGGAAACCCCCGCCCCTCTCCCGACGGTCAGTCCGCTCACTCATAACAACGACATCATATCTCGGGAAGAGGAGCATGAAGGGGCGGCCGCCATTCCTGGGCGCCTCGAAGCCGCCCCCCTTGGCGTGTGATGGGCGGCACGTCTGCGGGGGCGATGGCGGCCTAGTGGTGGGCGGAGTGGAAGGCGGGATCGTGTCTCGCGCCGTCTGTGTCGCCAGCGACAGGTCAACAGGCGCCTGAAAGGAGACATCACGGCAAAGATGAGTTGGTCTTCCGTCGAGATCGATGTGTATGTGTATGTGTTTGTGTATGTGAACTCACTGGCGAGGCGGACGGGAGTGCGTCGTCTAGTTGGTGCACGATTGAAGCGTTTGAGACGGCGGGTGTGATGAGCAGCTCACGGAGGAGAAAACGACAGGACGGAAACATGCTGCAGCAGAACAGCAGAGCAAAGGGATCGCACCTGTAATCTCCGTCTCATCCCCGCTCACCTCCTTAGTTTGTCTGCGATCCGCTCTCTCACCGCCCGGGGAGTGTACGTCGTGGCCTTTTCCTCCACCCTCCTTTTGTCCCCATCCCTATCCTGCTCGCGCCTTCCCTTCAGCACCTTCCACCCACCGCTCGTCGGCGGCCGGCTCTTCCTCTTGCCGACAGGCCCCTCCTTGCCCCAACTGTAGCCGTATGCAGACGATATGCTCGTCAGCACCTCCAGCTGCCGCCTCCAACCGGTATGCGCGGCAGATGGCGGAGGGGTGGGTGTGCGGGGGGGCGGAGGTGGGGCGACAGGCTCTTCCTCTTGGTCTCTTCGCCGTTCACCGTCCTGGAGTGGCTCCTGTTGGAGGGGGAGCATGGCACTGTCCGCATCAGGCGGACAGACAGCCTCATAAGTCGGGACCTGAAGTCAAAAAATGGAGGCGATTCATGGGTGCATGTTGGTCTCTTGGAGCACGTACAGACCTTTTGGGCGTCGGTGGCTCCCCCAGTTGACGCCTTGAGCAGCTCCTGGATCAGCCCCGCCCCAGCCAGGTGCACCCTGCCGTCCTTGGTGAACTCCTCGTATATGTCCTTTTCCTTGGGCACCGGCAATCCCTCCATCACCTGACTCGTCACCGCCACCGTCATGCGTTTCTTCCGTCTCCGCCCCTCTCCCTCCTCCTTGCCACGCAGGTTCGTCCCCTTCTCCGTCGGCGGCCGCTTTGCTCCCTCGTTGGTCTTGCGAAAGGCGGTGCCGAGGCGGCAAGACGCCATGTTGGGCGAGACGCCGATGCTGACCAATTCGAAGGGGCATTGCTGGGCGATGGGCGCCTTCACCGGTTTGAGAAGAGCTGACTCGGGTCTTTTAGCTGAAGTGACGGATGGTGCGGGTGTGAAAGGCCTCTTGGAGGACTGGGATGCCATTTGGCGTGCGATTTGTGATGCAATCTTAGCTCGCAGATGACAAGTGAATTTCCAGTGGGCCGAAGGGACCGGCCTCTCCAAATGCCGTCCAAGATGAAGGAGCTCTCTCGCGCCACCCCTGAGTCGCCATGCCTCATCAAGGATGACGAGTTAGCGGACGATGAGCTGTTCTTCACGTACAGCCCAAAGACGCCATCGCCCAACGTTGCGCTGCCCATTGTGGCGCTATCCGGGCCTCTTCTCGCCGTTGCCATCATCGCTGTTATCGTCCTGACGGGCCCGCACACATGGGCGGACGCTCCCCACCTCGCTCAGTCGTTCCTGGTGGCTCTGCCCGCTGCCCTCCTGGCTGGATCTTTCCTGCGATGGCTGCGGAGCGGCTGGCTGATCTCGGTTGCGGTGGGCCTTCTGGTGTGCCAGCTGGTGCTGGGGAGTCTGGGCGGCTTTGGGGCGTTCTATGTCCTGAAGGGGTGGCCTTCCTTCTCGGACGGCACTTTCACGCCGCTCGCCGAGTCGGACCTTGCCGCTATGAAGCAGAATGCCATCATATTTGAGGATGCCGGTGTGGATCTGTCCCTCGCCGTGTGGCTAAGCGTGCCATGCGAGAAAGGTAGGAAAACTGGCTTTTTGCGATGGACAGGAAGCACATAACATGTGCTTCTCCTTGACACAGGCGTCGACTGCCCGCCCAACGACCGGACGTATCACTTTAACTACCTGGCCGCCCCGCTCAACTCCTCCGCCCTCCCTCCACAGCCCATCCGTGCGTGGGGCATTCTTCTTGCAGACAAGGCGGGCGATGCTCAGAGTGCCCTGAGGAGGGCTAAGTGCCGCGTTAGCCAGGGCAGCAAGCTCTGTGGCTATGTGATCCGCGGCAGTGCGATGGATGGGCCGTACCACGCAGAGCCCATCCGTCGGAGGTCGCCTCTATTGACCGTGAGGGCTGGGCTGCCCGCCGAGATTCAAAGTAAGTGATCGGGCGGGTCAGCGAACACCCAAAGAACCATTCTCTCTCTCTCTGTGTGTGTGTGTGTGTGTGCTGCAGCCCTGATGCACATGGCGTTGGTGCACGTTGGTGTCACTCTCGACGAGAGCATCGAGGCGCCCAACGCGCCGTGGATAGATTGCAGCCACAACCCGCAGAACCAAAACCTGCCTCTGCACCTCAGGTGAGAAGGACAGCAGCCTTTCAAGTCTCTGCCTGTCAATGTATACCTGCCTGTGTGTGCGTGTGTGGACTGCAGGGTGCTGTATTGGTTCCTCTGCATGAGCTTCCTGACATTTCTCTGGGTCATGGGATGCTGGTACTCACACACGAGACCAAACGCACACGAGACACTACCAATCACGACCGATCATGGCAATCCATCCATATTTCTCCCCCTGCAGGTATGCCATGGAGGAGAAGGCCTTGAGCGACCGATTTCATCGCGGCCTCCTCCACGGCTCCCACAACAGCCGCCGCACCCACACCTTCACTTCGCTGGGCGATCTGACGGATGAGGAAGAGCTGGCCTTCCAGCTGGCGATGGACGAGCGTCAGAGGGCCAAGGAGGAGATAGTAGAGGCAGAGGAGATGCGGGAGGGGGAGAGAGTGGGAGAGCAGGAGTAGCTGGATGCAGGGCGGGGGCAGGGTTCATGAGACGATGGAAATGGGTGTCTGTACAGACCTTTTTGTTTATTCAGCAAAGTACACACAGTTTGGCCGTTGAGAAACAGATGCATGTCAAGGGTAGGCTTCGAAAACAGCTGACAGACCCTCGTCTCTCTCCCCCTTGCTTTTGTCGAAGGCCTGCTTGTACGTGCTATATTTCTCCCTCAACAGACCAAACACACGAGCATTCTCACCCTCAAGCAGTCTGCTAAGCCCACTGACCACCCCATGAACTGGCCCAAAGGCCGCACCACTCGGAGAGTCCGCAAGGGCCTTCGATTGGTCCTCCAGTGCCATCATGAGAGCATAAGGGAGGGAAGCGTGAGCTTGTTGCCGGGCTGGCCCGACCTGAATCCGTGGGAATTGCGCAGGAAGTAGCCCTCCACTGCCTTGTCCAGTGCTTTCGCCAGCCGTGCTTCGTCATTCATGCATGATGACGGCCCCTGATCGGCACCTTCGTGCGGTTGGTCGGAGTGGGGCTCAATTTGCTGGCTGGTGTCGATACGATGGATCAGGCCAAGAATGGCAGCTGCACCAAGTACACGGAGAAGGATGTACATGTATACAGGATCTTCCTCAGAAGCGTCGTCTGAGCTCCGTCGATCTCTGTCTGTCTGTCTCGCTTTCTCCCTCCCGGCACACCGCTGATGCAGACGATGAGCAGGAAAGAGGACGACTTGTCGAGCGGCAGGATGGACATTGTGCTGGGGTGAACCCGACTCAGAGGAGATCTAGAGGCGGATGAGAGATGGAGAAGCTGAGTGACGGCCGGGATATTTCTCACCAGGCCAGGAAGTCGCCACGGCGATCAGTAACGTATCAGCGCCACTGCGTGTGCCTGGTGTGTAGGGAAACTTCAATGGTATAGATGGATTCAATCAACACATGCGCCAGCTAGCTTGCATGCACGGCCCCCATCGGCACCCCCCGTCTCAGAAATAGCACTGCAAAAAGATAATGCCTGCTACCAAGCACTCAGGTCGCCGCCGCGTGAAGGCTGGCCAGCGTGATGTATTCGACGACTCGGGATCCGATGCCTCCGACGGTGCGCACAGAGAAAAGATCATGTCCATGTCTCAGACTCAGAACACGACTCAGACGCATGAATTGTGCTCTTTCAGAATCGTTCTGGTCGTGTGAGTCGCTGTCTGACGGGGACTCCAGTGTGTATCGGTTTATATACGAAGACGACGGCGAGTCGGAGGATGACGGCATCAGCGCCGTTATCGGTCGGCTGCGGGCTTCCTGGAGAGAAGCCAGGATGGCCCAGAGGCAGGCAGCCGCTGCTCACAAGGCCACCAGCAAGGAGGAGAAAGTGACGTCGATGGTGTCGGTGGCGCTGAAAGGCACCAAGGCCCATGAGGCCCGGGTCATAGCGACTCGAGGACATCCAGTTCCTGTCGCAACTCAAGGCCTGGAGAGGACAGTCGTGTCCAATAAGCCGACCAGCAGGAAGATAAAGGCTCCGGCGGTGGCAATGAAGTGCACCAAGGCCCATGCTGCACGAGTCATAGCCACTCGAGGACATCCAGTTCCTGATGAGGCCCTCGGTGTCACGAAGAGGGCAAAGGAGAGGGCAGTCGCTGCCGAAAACCCCCGCAGGAGGAGGGCGAGGAGGGTGTCAGTGGCGCTGAAGGGCACCAGAGCGATGGAGAAGCGGATGAAGGCCGTTGAGGTGCAGCGTGAGGCCATCACGGCCCGAGAGAAGGCAAGGCCCACACCATTCCGCTTCAGATAAACATTATTTTGGGAGGCAGGGAAGGACAAAGTATGTGGGGGACGGGACGACCGAATGAGACATCGCGAGAGGACCAGTGACGTGTTGGAGGATGTGAGCACGGGCATCTGGGGGAGGGATGGAGGGAGGGAGGGAGGGAGGGAGAGAGAGACTTTCATGTCTTTCTCCATTGCTTCTCTCGTACTTCTCACGGGACGCACTTCGCTGGTTGGAAAGGCGCCTTTCTGCCTGCCTGCCTGCCTGCCCGAGACGCATGTGCTTGTGGGCCGTTGTGCGGCATACAATGGCGCTTTGACCGACGTGGAGACGCGACTGTGCCTGATGTTTGTGCCTTGTGCGGGCGGCTGGCTGCCCCTGACTATCTCACTCACTGCATGTTTGTGTGGTGGACGGGACCCCAAAAGAGAGGCGACATATCGTGAGACGGACAGGGTTGTGCGAGACGACCTTGAGCGTGTGATGTCTTTCATGCGCACCAGACTCGTCTGTCCATGGACAGTCCAAATGCATGGATGGCATCTCACCTTGACATATAGACCCCTCCCCTCTCGTCTCTCCCTTCCTCTGACCTGACCCATGGCCAGACAGGGCTGGGGGTCACTATTACATACACTTATGAAGGACCAACGCAGCACTAATTGGTGCATGGCACAGCGGCCACAGCCTGTGGCGCAGACACAGGACCTGTCAAGTGGCCAGCCAGATAAACATCCTCATGGCATGGCGCCCCCAGCAGACAGACAGACAGACAGGCATAGGCAGCTAGGGGAGACACATGCACATAATAAGTGAGACCTTACTCGAAAGCTAACAGCCATAACAACCTGACGAAGAGCCTAACTGCATGCCATGCAACACACAAATCGCAGCGCACACACCTGCCTGGCCTGACTCTCGTAAGTAGTAAGAGTGAGTGCCACACACAAAAAACATCGAACCATAGGCCACTTACAGCGTCTCACATCTCACACACGCGTCGGTCGATGGCAAATGCAATGGACATACGTACAAAATGCCGGCGCCATGCACTCACTCGCACCTTTCCCTCCTCTCCCACACACACCAAGGAAGGACCGCACTAACTAAACGGTTTCTCCTTCCAGCTGTCTGTCAACATCGTTCGTGGCCGCACAAGACAAGCATCCCTCTGATCCGCCTGTGGATACGATACCCTCAGCTGGTGACCGCTTCAACTCGATGCATTTTAGCAGTAGCCTGATGCGCAGGGGAAGCTAGCCGTACATCCATGGGACAGTGGTTGTTGCAGACTTGACTGACTCACGTGCAGTTGGAGGGCCTTCACTGCCTGCGTGGCTTCAGTGCTGACGGCCTGGTCAGGGTGCTTGGTGAAGCGCTGGATGGCCTTGACGCAGCCGCCCTATCGACAAAGGACAGGAGGACACACACAGTGACATATGTATTCGCCCGTACCTAGCCACCCACCCTGCAAGTGATGTCATCCTTGGCTCGCTGGCTCAATGTGACACTCGTGTCGCTGATGGGGAGAGCGGCACAAACGATAAGGCGCTCATCAGTGATGCATCTGCCTCTTGCACACGCGCACGCCTACTTGAGGATGATGTTGAAGGATTCCAGCATCAGAAACTCGAGATGGTCGGCCCCCAGGCCGATGCACGCTATGTCAAGACACCCGTCGTCGATTGCAGCCATCCGCTGTACCGCAGAGAATCCCACACAAGCCAGGCCATAGAGAGCAGTCAAGGCGTCTCTAGTCGGTGCGTCTCTAAGTGGTACGCGTCTACATGTGTGTCGTTTCCCTTCCGCAGCAGCAGGGCGCACGTCAGCGCCAAGACCGTCGCGTAGCTCTCAGACCCGTCTTAGAACGGAAAGCTTCTTCAGCGATGACCAAGGTGTCAGCATCGACCAGACTGCCAAGAAGGGCAGACTGCGCCTCTGGCCACTCACCTGAGCACACACACGCACCACAACCACATGGGTGCGTGGCTTGCCTTGGGCTGTGCTGCTGTGGTAAGCTTACCATTGGGGATAAAGTTCATTGTTTTCAGGATCACGAGCATGATGTTGGCGGCGTGAATGGGCAGGTGGGAATCAGACGATAGCAGCAGCGACGACAGCTTCATGATCATCTGCCTCTCAGAGAACAGAGCGGGCGCATCTGCCTGACACGACCGGCAGGACTTGTCGAGCAGTGAGGCTGCACGCAACAACAACAAAACAGCCCCCAGACAGACAGACAATGAGCGACACATTATGACCCGTTGTGCTGCTCCTCACCCACTGCGACATTTTCGAGCGTCTTCACCGCCAACCTGGTGATGTTGACGTGGTCATGCTCAAGCAGCTGCACCAGCAGAGGCACCCCGCCCGCCCCGATGAGCTCATCTGCCCACGGCAGTTTGGCCTCTGCCGCCACAAACATGGTGTGGAACAGGGGGATGGGGAGAGCTGCCGTCCGGTTGTTGTCGTCGGGCAGCTCCAGAGATTCCTTGACGATCGCCACGAGGGAGGGGATGGCCCCGACCCTGTCATATGCACACAGGAAGAGACAATGCCCCCAGCCAGCTGCGTGAATGATTGTGTATGTCGGCACTCACCCTATGAGCGCCTCGACTGTCTTGACGCCCGCTTTCGTAAACTTGATCAAGAGCTGTAGTGTTTCCACCTGCACCATAGGCTCAACCGTCGCTTTCAGCAGGGGAGTAATAGCGGCCCCGAAACGATTAGCAATGGATGAGGCGGTCCAATCTGGGTCTGGGTCTGCGCTGTCGCTGACGCTCATGTCCGCGGCCTGCAGAACGAGCAGCTGCCTGTCCGGGTCGCCGCCCTCCAGTTCCTTCTGCAGGAAGGAATTCGCCGCCTTGACGCGCGCTGCGTCATCTTCAGCTTCATCGATGGAGCTGTAGTATTCAGCCAACGGGTCCGAATCGTCGGGCTCGTCACCATCTGCTGATTTGATGCTCTCCACGGCCTCCTCGGCGCTCGTCCTGATGACGTCAGTGGGGTGCTCAAGGAAGGCCTCGATCCCTTCTTGGCAGCCAGTCTGCAGACACACAGCCACCACAGCAGCCCACCTTGACGGACGTACCCACAGCCGCGTGCGCGTGTGTGGTCGGTGCAGTGAGACCTTTGAAAGAATGGCGGCTTTGGCTCGCTGTCTTAAGCTGCCACTGAACAATCGATTGACAACACAACACCGCCAAACAGCAAGACAGCATCTAAGGCACGGCTGTGCCGCATCGTGTATCACACCGTCGAATCTGAGGATAGCGGCGAAAGAATCCATCAGCAGCTTGTGGAGGAATTCATTCTCCAAGCGCCCCCAATTAGGTCGCTGCTCAACACGGTGCTCGAGCGAGTTGCAGAACGAGTCGATGCAGGCGTGGTCAACTGCGTAGCTTTGCTGCACGCGGCGCACACACCATACCAATACGCGATGAGGTGCCAGGTGCTGCTACTGGTGGTGGTGGTGATGCCTACCTCTGCTTCGTTGCCCTTGCGCATCAGCAGCGTGCATCCATTCAAGTGCGTCGCCATGAAAGCTGTCCGGGCGGCCGTATCCCCCCACTCCGTCGATGCAGTGAGGGCATTGGGCAGCACGTCGGCGTTGATTATGTTCTCGAGAATGTCTGGCTGCGACTCGGGCACTTTCTCTGATCACACACAAAGGTGGTGGCTGGGTGCGTGTGTGTGTGTGTGTGTGTGTGGCGTCGATCAGCTTACGAGCGGTAAAAGTTAGGGCGACCAATGTCATCCCTATGATGTCGGCGGCATCCTGGCGCATTTCGTCGTCGGCCGACAGCAGCAGCGGTGAGAGCTTGGTCAGCACCCCACTCTGGAACAAGATGTAGCCGGACTGCCAGGTAACAGAGGGCTCGCTCGGAGCTGGACATACACAAAAGAGACAGACAGCAAGCTCAGCTCGGTAGACCAGCCGTCCTTCTCGCTCACCGTAGGAAACTTCCTGATGACGTTGGTTGCGGCTCTCTTGACCTCGTCGTGATGGTGGTCCAGCAGCTGCACGAGCGGAGGCAGCCCGTCGGCCTCGAACAGCTCACCCGCCCACGGCAACCCCTCATCATCCGCCACGAGCACCACCCGGCGCAAGGGCATGATGATGGCCGTGCTAGGGAAGCCCCATGGAAGCTGCACAGCACGCTTAAGGGCCTCTGTCAGGGAAGATATGGCACCCACCCTGACATAGACACACACCGAGAGCGAGAGAGAGATCTCCAATCGCGCCCGTTTATTGCTCACCGTATGAGGGCCTCCACTGCCTTGGCGCCTGTGCTTGCCATCTCGACCAGCAGCTTTGATGCCTCCTGCTCCACAGCCGGCTCTGCAGACCCTCTCAGCAGGGCGAAGACAGCTGCACCGAACTGCTCCGCAATGACAGCAGCAGCGTCAGCTGGCTGTGCATTCTTGGCGATGACCGCGGACATTGCCCGCAGAGCGCTCAGCTGCTGGTGCCTGCTATCGCTCTCAAGCTGTGAGAGGAGACTGGGCGAGGCGTTGGCTTCCGAGGCGCCGAAAACAGCGGCCGGCAGGGAAGCAAAGGCGAAGACCAGAAGCAGCAACATCACTGAAGGGAAAAACTGCAGTGCTTTGTCCCACTATTTTTTCCTCGGCGCCGAAGACAGAGAATGAAACACTCGTCGCATCTCCACGAACGCACTCAGTGGCATAAGTGCGTCAAGACAATTAACACGCACAACCAGCACATATGCGTGACATACGTTAACTCATAGCGCAACAACAGGCAAAGTCTGTCGTTCTCTCATGAAACGAACTGCGTCAACGTCGACCAACCCTCAATCATGCGACAAACATGCCAGCACCATCCTCAGCGCCCGCCTAGCGTATCTTCCAGCGGCGCCGCCCACCACGCACACACATACTCGCACTACGCGCCAACGCAACAGACAGACGAGCACGAACCCACCCCATCACCTGGCCATACGACTTCTCTGCCCACGCAGCCTTGGTGCGCAGCTTCTCAACCAGGCGGCTGAAAAAACCGTTGGCCTCTCTGCCCCACACAGCATCCACCGTGACGCACAAGGGGGTGAAATGGATGGACTTGTCCTCGCACACACGGCTATGGTGGGCCTTCTTGGTCTTGGCCTTGCTCTTGAGGATGGAGGCGGTGGATTGCTTGCGGTAGGACGGTGCGTCAGCGTTCGTCACACATACGTCGAACGACACGTCCTTCTGCCTCTCCCACACCCCTCTCACCACCATGTCCGTCTGCACCCCCTTCTCCCCCTCCTCCTCGGGCTCCACGATCACCACCTCCTTCCTGACCGCCGACTCGCCCCAAGCCTTGGCAGAAAGGTCGCACAGCACGTCCACCACCTCGTTGTGCCGCCGAATCACCAACCCACCCACCCCACAGTTGAGAGCGTGGTCGAGCGAGTATGCAGCCCCGCAGCCGTCGCAGTGGGTGGGCATCTTGAGAGGTTCGTAGGCGTATCGGATGGCCATGTTGTCGCGGAACTCGTCAGGCGTCAGGTCGGTGTGGTCCTCTGCGTCAGGGCGGCAAGTCACCCACCCGGCCGTCTTGGCCTCGATCGCCCGGTGGACCGCCCGTCGTCTCTCTGGGGGCAGCTGCTGGAGGCCGTCCTCGAAGCGCTCCTTGGCTGCCTCATCGGTCGCCCGCCGCCCCTCCTTGACCGCTTGCTGCATCTCGGCGCGGTGCTGGAAGGGATTGGATGGAGGGCCGTCGGGTGGGTCGCCGTTCTGGATGGTGGACACCAGCAGGGAGGTGCCCTTGGTGGACGTCTCGTATGCCACCGCAACTCGCTGCGGTGTCGGGTCCCTCACCCCCATCCCCCCAAAACGCGCAGGCAGCATCATCAGCTGGGCCTCAGTGGCGGTCACCGCATGGCTGGAGAGCTGGGTGAGGTAATGGGTGAGGGCATGTCGCAGCGGCTCGAATGTCGCCCGCTCCTCAGGCATCACCCGCATGAAGAAATCCCACTCGACCTGCAGAGACGTCGTGAGTGCCGTGTGGGCTGCCTGCGGGTACTTGGCCGCTGCGTCCGCCATCCGGTTCACACACCGCTGCCACTCCTGCACCCTCTCGGCGGCGTAGGCCCGCTTGCCCTCCGCGGTCACCACAAATCCCCCCATATATCGAGCACCACTCACAATCTCTACGTCGGTATCGCCAAACACCTCCCGCACCCGCTCCTCGCAACCCGCCCGCACCACCAGCTTGGTCTTTTTGCCGTTGGGCTGGTAGCCCCCCAGTGGCCCTCTCCGCTGCAGCTCATCCCACCACTCGCGCACCGGCTGGAGGTCTCCCAGCTTGGCGGAGTCGTCGGCAAACCATGCCTGAGGGCCCTCCTCTGCTGGCCGCTTCATCTCCCACACGAGCGGAAGGGTGGCCACAGAGTAGAAGAGGGAGGCCAAGGGGTCGCCTTGTGCGGTCCCTTCTCGGCTCCACAGCGGCGCGGATTGGTCGCGCATGTAGAGGGCCGCATGGCCGCGATAGGTGTTGAACAGGAAGCGTGAGCACCGCGGCCAGAAAATGCGGACATTCCACAGGGCGGCAGAGCGACTCATCTCGTTGAAGGCGTTCGTCGCATCCACCAGGATCGCGCACTCAACGCCACCCGAGTCGAACTCGCCGGATACCGCATGAATGGCACCCTCCACGCCCCCCTTGAGCCCGGCACAGAGCTGGTCCGCACCGCACACAATCTCCGCATCCACCCCGACTGCCTTGGCCATCGCCTTGCCCATGATGCGCATCAGGACCTCCCCGATCCCGATGGGCCGCACGCCCGGTTGCTTGTCCAGACCGATAAGCCGACATGCACGCAGGGCCTGCAGCCGCTCCCAGGGCACGTCCTCGTTGGCGATGTGGGAGGCCATGGCCGCTAACTCACTGCGCAGCTCCGCACTTGCCGCGCCGCCCTTGAGAAGGACTTGCTTCCACACCGACGACTCGCCACCAACAGGTCCCGCGCCTCCCTTCGTTGCCCGTGCCGCCCGCTCGATGTGGTTGGCGGTGAGCTCGACCTGGGTGAGGGGAGGGAGGGGCCGGTCGAGGAAGCAGGACGGGTCAGGGTCACTCTGGGTGGGGTGCTTCGACTCGAGGACCTCCCGAACGGTGCGGCCCGCAGGGTCGGCCTCAGCCAGGTCGTTGGGGTCGAGCGCGCCTCCCCCTCCCCGCTCGGTCAGGAACCGGACGGCCTGCTTGACCTTGTCCTTGTCGACCAGGCGACGGAATTGGCGCAGCGTGGCCTCACAACCAGCACATATACATCCCAGCTAGCTGCCGAACCGACAAGGGCAATGAATGTCCTACATACTACCCTCCCCGTCCCGCATATCCACATTGTGATGAAAACTACGAGAGTCACACTGCTCTGTGCTTGGCGGCTTTGGTGTGCTCGACAGGGATGCATGGGATATATATCGCGATATGTATATGCGATGTATTCTCTCCTGCCGTCATGACGACCACGCGCCTCATTTGCCAGTGGGCGCGGTACCATCGACTGACCACCCAGAGATGGGCCACCGCAGTGACGTCTCGGCGACGGTCTCGCAAGCGGACGCTTCTCGTTATATAATCTCGTCAGCCGCGTGAATCCTGTCTTGTTGAGCAGCGCATCAGCGTCCAGCCACTCATCAAGTGGCAGAAGGCCTTCGCCTATGTCCGAGTAGCTGTTCTGCTCGCACGTTGCTTTCTTCCGGACAGACACAAACAGCGGAGCAGCACAGAACAAACAGGGCACAGTCAGCCGTTCAGTCAGTCAGTCAGTCAGTCACTCAGTCACGACAGATGGGCTCCATCTCCTCCCGCCTCGCCCGTGTGTGTTCATCAGTGTGCATGCCTGCCTGCCTGCCTGTCTGCATGGCTGCCCGTTCACGCCATGCCCGTTTACGAGAGGTACCTGACTCAGAGAAGAATCCCCAAAGGGCTGCTCAGCCGCAGCATCCGCAAAAGAGTCTCGTCACGAGAAGGACGTTCTGCAGACAGACAGACAGACACACTCATCCCTCCACATGACTCTTCTCGCCACCTAGCACCATTCCACGGCTGCCTCGCTGGCTGCCTAGCTGGTAGGCTCACTTGGTGCTGTGGTGACGTCGAGTGTGATGGCGTTGGATGCGTTGTTGCCGGCCCTCTCCAGCACCTCGGCCAGAGGGTCGCTCACCGCCAGCTGCGTCCCGTTGTACACGAAGGCATAGCTGTCGAGACCTTTGAGGATTGACGAGGTGAGCCCCTCCTCACAAGCTCGATCCAGGACGATGCCAAGAGGCTTGTCGGGACTGCATTTGACGCCGTACGTGCCCCTCTTCCTCTTGTTGGTAGTGATGTTCAACCACACATACACGTCCACTTGAGGTCGAGTCACCATGGCATGAAGGACGTCCATGACGGAGCGCGCCACCGTCACTTTGGGGTCGTGGCGATACGCAATGCGGTTGGCCGACGAGGGCGCAATGAGGGGCGGGATGGGACGGCGAAAGAGGACAAAGGACACGGCAGACTGCACGACAGGTACACACACATAAGGAGCGCTGCCCATTCGTTCTTCCGCTGTATAACTGACCTGTGTGCCGGCCGTCGCTGCTTCGACAGGGCTGATGACCACCAAAAGATTCATCGGCAGCAGCAGCAACACACTGCTGCACGCCATGGTGGAGTGACGGGAAGACCTGTCTTCTTCGTCCAGCCGGTGCTGAGCTGATGGATACGGAGTGCAGATCTTTCTCTTTCTCACCTTAGTAGCATGTTCCGTCGAATGCTTTCCGCAGCAGCGATTTCCGTTGAATGTTTCCCCAGCAGCGGTTTCAGGAAGCACCCTAAGCGTCTTCAGGGAGCACCCTAGGCGGCTTCGCAGCGGTTTCAGGGAGCACCCTAGGCGGCCTGGCTGCCAAGTCCCTTTGGGTCTGTCCTGTCAGGATTGCCAGCTTGGCAAGACGAACCACTGCGAGCTTGTGAGCTAGGGTATATTGCTGTGTAACGGGTGGAGAGAGGAGAAGACAAGGAAAGACAAGGAAAGCATTCTGCGGAGACACGATCTTATCAGCCATCACCGAAGTGAGATCTGTGTTGACCACCCTTCATGATGCCATACATGGACAGAAACAACTTTGACTGACTGGCCAGTCCATCGGTCTTATTAAAGTAAAAGCACTCTTACTCTGGGACTTACCGCCCAGCAGATCCTCTATTCAGCTTACTACAGGAAAGGTCCTCACCGGCCTTTTTCGCACATGGGCGCAGCAACTTGGTTCTTGCTTATCTGAGCCGAAGTCTTCGGCAACTAAATGACAGATCCCAACAGATCTATCAGTGTCTTGCGCAGTATCAGCAGCAGTCAACTACTAGCAGTACTTGAAGAAAGACAACAACAACATCAACAAAGCAGACAGCAGAGATGACACTCAATCTCGAGACCAAGGCCACCTTCCCCGTCTTTACCGGCAGGAGTGGCGAGAACGACATCAAGTGGCGTGAATGGGACTTTACTCTCAGAGCCTACTTGGCAGCAAGAGAGATGGATGTGAAAGTCTATCTACCTACTAAGGATGAGGACGTCCCGCCGATGAAGATAGCGGTGCCACAGATGGATGGCAATAATCAGCCCGTGGTGAACCAGCAGGGACAGCCAATCCTGATTGAGCAGGAGAGCTCCAACGCCAAGAACCTCCGATGGCTGTTCGGCTTCCTCGCCCTGCAGACAGCAGACAAGGCCAAGCGACTGATTCAAGAAGCATACCAGAAGCACGGCGAGAATGGTGCATGGGCGTATCTAGAACTGCGGAAGCGGTTCATACCTGATCGTATCGTATGCAAGCACGAGCTCTTGCAGCGATTCTTCAGCTGGAAGATGATCAAGGACGATCTTGACGACGCCCTTGGCGACTTCAGCTATCTCGTCAGCCGCCTTCATGAAGTCGGATCAACAGTGCCAGACGAGACGATGATCGCCGTCATGCTATCGGCATTGCCTGAGAGATTCGACATGTTCAAGGCAACCATGGCGCATGAGTCAGCATCCCGCGCGTATCGTGGAGAAGCACTGACGTGGCCGCAATTTGAAGAAGCTCTTCGTAATGCGAATGACCGCATGACACAGCTGCGAAGAGAGCAACGAGACCGTCAACATCAGCAGAACGGCCGTCCATCCGGAAGACAACATGACTGTCAAGACCAGCGTAGTCAGTATGATGATGAGAGGAAGGGATGGACTGACAGACGACCTGACAACAGATACAACAATACCAACAGGAACAATGACAGTGGATGGAGGAACCAGCCGAGCAACACCAACAGACAGAGCGGCGACTACTGGCGACCGGCCTTATCCACTTATGCCCAATCCTCTCAGCGCACCTGGCACACTGGCGGACAGCAGCAGGGAGGAGGGCAGCAGCAGCAAACATGACGCCCTACAGAACGACGAGATAAGGATGGCGACATCATTATGAACAACACTCGAGCACGAGCCAATGATAGACGGAACGACCGACGTCCCAATCGCCAATACGCCAACCAATTCGATGTCTACGAAGAGGAAGAACAACAGCAACAAGGAAATGAGGACTTTGTTACGATTGGAGCAGTCGAGATAGAAGAACTGGCTGATGAGGTGGTGCACGTGAATGGTGTGTGTTCATCTCACCTGCGGCAATGATGATGGACACTGGAGCAGCGCGATCATGCTGTTTTGAGGAGCAGCTCTTCGACGAAATCAAGCCACTTGACCACGACATCAACGTCATCATGGCGAATGGATCAACCGCACCAGCAATGGGTGTCGGCTGCATCAAGTTTACCTGTGGAGAGATCAACAAAGGCAAGAAGAAGGTCATGGTGGACAACGTGCTGTATGTGCCCAAGCTCAAGTTCAACCTGCTTTCTCTTGCTCACCTTATCGACGATTACAACGTCAAGCTCGAGATTGATCATGGCGCTGCGTTCCTGAAGGCAAGGAGAGGAGATATGTACCCATTGATGCGTGAAGGGCGATTCTGGTACCTCAACATCTACAAGGACCCGTCCGACTGCCCGAATGCGACCGATGAGCGAGTGGTTGACGTCATGGAGCAGCCGCACACACCATCGGTGGACGATGACAATGAAGAACCGACGGATGTGATGACAACAGACGTATTAGTCGCGGAAGTCGTCACACAAGAGCGATTGCATCAGCGATTTGCCCACGTCAATGATGGATACCTCAAGAAACTACCTGAAGTGACAAGACACGCACCAACGGCAAAGAAGGAGAACAACAGTGACGACGAGAAGGCCAAGTGTGAAGTGTGTTTGAAGGCCAAGATGAAGCGACTGCCGTATGCAGGAGATGCGTATCGACACCAACACCCTGGTGATCTCATCCACGTCGACCTGTCACAGATCAAGCAGCCAAGCGAGAGAGGATACAAGTATCTGATGGTGGTGGTCGACGATGCATCAAGGTGGCTGCAGACTTACTTCCTCAAGAAGAAATCGGACGCCCCTGCCGCATTCATCCAGTACTGCATTGCAGTCCGCATGCCCAAGGCAGTGAGGACAGATGGAGGGGCGGAGCTCATCAAGGGCCAGTGGAAAGACTTCTGCGAGACAAACCAGATACGACAAGAGAGAGTTTGCCATATCATCAGTCCCAGAATGGAGTGGCTGAGCGAGCCATTGGTGTGATTTGTGCTATGGCGCGTGCACTGCTATTCACTGCCGGCTTACCCGCATCTTATTGGTGTTATGCGACAGCCACAGCGACGTACATTAAGAACCGCACGCCAACCGCAGCCAACGAGGGAATGAAGACACCACATGAGCTCTTCATCGGCTATCCACCCGATGTCGGCCACATCCGCACCTTCGGCTGCAAGACACACATGAACCAGAGGAAAGAGACGGTTGGCAAAATGGACCCTCGCACGCAGATCGGCATCTTACTTGGGTATGACCCAACGACTAAGGACGGCTATCTGGTGTATCTGCCGCACACACGGCAATTGGTGCTGTCACGCGATGTGGTGTTTGACGAGGCGATACTGCCTGGACAAGAGGAGAAGCAACAACACCCATCGGAAGACGACAAGACCGGAGATGACCCATCACTTCCACAGCTATTTCAGCCAACCATACCGAAGACCTACAAGCCTGACAAGTACAAGGCTCGCATCGTCGCAAGAGGATTCGAACAAGACGGCAACCAAGTGGATGAGGTGTTTTCCCCTACGCCCTCCTACCACATTGTTCGATCAGCGTTTGCCCTGGCGAATCAACTCAACCTGGAGATACATCAGATGGACATCAACACAGCATTTCTCAACGCCCCGCTGGT